CAGTCATGTTAAATTCATGGGGAAAATCCTCCTAGGATTTAGAACTGAAAAATAGCTTCAATCACGGCAACGCTGCCGTGAAGAGCAGGGGAAGGCAGCATGTTCTAATCATTTAGGGGAAAAATGAGGAAGATGATACTAATAAGCCGTGCTGGATTTTTATGCTACCGTTTCCTTCATCTGAAGGAATATGGAGATGGGCTTTTAAATTCGGAGTGATTACCTGCCAGCTTCTATCCTTAGGGCAAATTATTAGCAATGGTTTTAGTTTGTTATTACCTTGGCTAAAAGCTCAGAGGACACAAGCTTACCAGAGCCCAGACGAGGAAGTAAGATCTATAGACAAGAGTGCAGCGAACAGAACTGGGGAACCCAGCCATTTCCTGATTCCCTTTCAAGACCTTCTGGGACACTGACCTGCTTATCAGGGGGCTGGGACAGGGGCCGGCAGGACCTAGAGCACCTTCCTGGTGCTTCCCAACTGACCCCACAGCCCCCACCTTCCCAACTGACCCCACAGCCCCACCTCCTGCTCTTCCACCCAACCCATCCAGCCACAGACCCTGCACTCCAGTCCCCCCAAACTGCCCAGTGGTTCCGAAATTTCCTTTCTGAGATTTCTCTTCAATGTGACTTTCTTCCTCACGTAAAGCTTTCAACCTCACGTAAAGTTCGCGGCATCTTCGGTGCTTCCATAGCACCAGTACCTGCCTGGACTGTGGGCCTTACTACATCGGCATTATCAGTTTGCTGTCTCCTCTCCGGCTGGTGTCTCAGAGACGACAGGGATTTCGTTCGTCTCAGATCCCTGCACAGCCTAGAGTTTCTCAACAGCAGCAAGAGATTCACATCTCGGGCTGAAAAATTACCCGTTGTTGGGGGGGTTATTCTGTGCACTGAAGGTTGTCTGGCCACATCCCTGGTGTCTACCCATTAAAAGCAACCTACCCTCAGGGGGACAATTAAAAAACATCCCCACACATTACTCAATGCCTGCTGGGAGACAAATGGCCACAGGTCGATAACCACGGCCCCAGCCCTAACAGAGGGCCTGATCTGTTTTAGGTGTTTAACGCATAGTTGCTGAATTAATAAGTCCGTGCCCAAATTCATGAGTACCACGTAAAAGGCGGAATGAGTCCAAAGAATAAAGACCTCACTGTCGCTTTTACAAACTCATCAAAGCAAACTTGGAAGCTTTACTCCAGCAGTCAAGTCCTTTATTTTTTTTTTATTTTTTATTTTTTATTTTTTTGAGACAGAGCCTCAAGCTGTTCCCCTGGGCAGAGTGCCGTGGCATTACAGCTCACAGCAACCTCCAACTCCTGGGCTCCAGCGAGTCTCCTGCCTCTGCCTCCCAAGTAGCTGGGACCA